CCAAAGTCATCATTTCTCAAGAAACGGAAATGTTTCTTATCATTTAAAATTAGTGAAACTTTTTTCATATTAAAAAGAAAAATTCAATGGAGAATGTGATCATTTACCTTAAAAGTCGATTAGCTTTAATCAGATGGATTAAATCGAAATGAAAAACTTTGAGATTACATTTCGGCAACCATCTAGCTATGATAATTTTAAAAAAAAGTAATATAAGGACTTGTAAATTTAAAACCTTATCAATTTTTCAATTATTTTCATATTTTTTTCCTTTTCACATATTCACATCTTAATTTGATTTCAAATGATGAACAATTATCTATGACATGCCTAAATTTAATCTCTAATAAATAATTATACTTTTTGTACATTTCAACTAAACATATAATCCATGTTCTGTCCCTTCTTTTTCTCACCTTTTTTTTTTCATCTAAAGTAACACTGTTTATTACTTTCCTTTTTTTCTTTTGTTAAAAAAAATGAAATTACAGATGGTTGACCATTAAGGTACTATTCTCATTACTTTATGGTCTTCTAATGTTTATTGGTATTATCGGTAATGGCGGCGTTTTGATTGCATTTGTGAAAAATTGTCGACTTCGTTCAGCTCGAAATATGTTTTTGCTCAATTTAATCATTACCGATTTATTACTTTGTGTTACCGCTATACCTGTAACACCGTGGTATGCATTAACAAAAAACTGGACATTTGGTGCTTTAATGTGCCGTGTAATGCCACTCTCAAATTCGTGCTCCGTTTTTGTTACCAGGTAAGTAAAGGAAATTTTGCCCTCATTTTTTTCAATTCTTCAAATTTATAGCTTACCAAAAATAAATGATCATTCTACAATGAGTAGTCATAGCAACCTTTTTTTAAAAAAAAAATTTCCCCTGAAAATATTTTTCTCTAAAATATTGGTGAATTATCATCTTTTAGCACAAACTAAAAAGGGATGATAGAATAGCTGAAATTTTTCATATGCCTATTCATACTTACTTGAAATAGTTTTTTTCTTAAGTTAGAATCTTTGCTAAATATGAAATATTAATTAGTACAGATAATTAAGTTGCAACAGTAGTTGATTGATTTATATGTAATCATTTCTGATAAAAAAGGAACAAAGTCTTATCAGTGGAAGAACGATTATTCCTAGTTTTCAGTGATAACAAAAAGAAATCATTTTTTTGTTGTGAAATAGAATTAATTTAAATCAAAGCTGTGCTAAGTAAATATGAGAAATTTGAGATAGTGTTACTCTAAGTTTCATTCCACCCACCTATGTGTATATCCTCAATTTTGATTGCTAATGAATGATACATTGTAGTTAATTAAAGTGATCAGTTGAGATTAACATCAATCAATACCAAATTATAAAAATACTTTAATAGCTTTAATATAACTTATTCTTGCTCTATAGTTTAAAGGAAGAATATATGATAATGATAGAATGATAACTTTTGGAGTAAAATAATTACTTGTAGAAATTTTAGTATAACATTTGCGGCGGTGCATGTGAATTTTATAGAATTAGCAATGTTCCGGATGAGTAAAGTAAGAAATGGAAGATAGATGAAATGATAAGCTACGTTTTAGGAAGTGCTGTGAAGATGA